AATGTCCGGGGGGGGGGGGATTTCAGATTTTCGGGGGGCACTGCCAGTGACCAGATGCGTAGCTGAGGGGAGGATAGAGGGGATGATGTCCCCGGGTGCCAGACTTACAAAATTGGTTTTGGCGGTATTTACTTGATAAAAATAATGGATTTCAGAGTTGAGGGTGGTAGTAAAATTAGTCTTGTCCCTTGGAACCAAACTCTCTAGTTACACCTCTGCCAGGGGCGTAGAAAGGGGACGAATGGGGTGGCCCGCCCAGGTGCTAATTTTTAATTATTTGGAGGGGTGGCATTCTCGGATAACAGCAGAGTTTGTAATCGTGAAAGGGCGTGCATACTGTAGAAATTTTTTGATTATTTTAAAATCAAGAGGTGCATTTTCGAGTATACTTGATTTGATTTTTGGGCAAATTAAAAGTACTGTTACATGTATGCATTTGGCGCATACTTGAATTCGGTTTTTCTCTTAGACAATTTTAAGAGAGCATTTCAGACTTTCGGATGGGAAGCGCCAAAATTTGCCTGATAATGCTAGAAAATATTTCTAACTGAGCCCCAGCCCAACATGAACTAAATTCATTCGAGTTGTGGCGCCCTAGAGGGTATGATTTTTGCCCTAGGTTATTCTTAAATATTTATGCTGGGTGGCCGAGTGGTCTAAACTGTGTCAATCTCAACTTCGTGATCCCGAGATCAATCCCCACCAATGCCCAATCAACCAAACACATCATCAGCTACCCGGGGATGGGACTTTTTAACATTGGATGGCAATTCATCCAAGAGAAGGACATTCTGTATTCAAAACATCCTGAGATGGAGTCCTGTAGGCACTTGGCAGGATGAAATTACATGTCCCAGCTCATCGCCTACTCTGATAACCGATTGAGATCCTGCTGTAGCTGTTCTTGGTCAGAACTGTTGGAGATCGTCCTGCCGTGTCATCTGCAAACAATCACACTCGGGAGGTCAGTTTGTCGGGTAGGTCATAGATGTATGCTAGGATCAAACAGTGCCGAGCTCTGGGGGACCTCTGACTTAACGCCGACAAAAGAGGAGCTTGTACCGTCCACCACCATTGCCATCCTCATGATGTCCACTTGGGTTGTAATTTTTATCAACTTTTGTACCGTTAAAAGAAACACAATACTCTGTAAGTTAATCGATTTTGATTATATTTCTTTTATTTTGCAATTTATTAGTAACTTAATAAAACTTATTAATTGTGATTATCCCTGTTTTGAGTGTCGTATTCTTTTGCTATCGCTTTTCCCATATGGTATCGTCTTTTTGTATGCACTGTTTAAAACGAGCCATAAACTTAGAGTAAGAGATTAATTTCTCCCAATAGACAGCAGAGGGTAACATTGATCATGACGGTATTTAGAAGGTAGTTTATATGTGTTGAGAGATAGGTGGCGTAGCTAGGGTAAGTGCTACCAGGGGCGGGCCCAGATTAGTGTCCCCCCTACCCTACGAAACTCGATATAAGCAAAAGGTTCCCCTCCCCCCCCCCCCCACTAGGGTAAAGGCTAACAGGGGCGGGCCCAGATTAGTGTCCCCCCTACCCTAAGAAACTCGAAATAAGCAAAAGGTTCCCCTCCCCCCCCCCCCCGGAAAAGATTTAGTCGATAAACATAATGACCGTCGTGAGCTTTGAGCAATAAACAATGTATTACATTATGTCGTGGACATTGGAAAGAGTTCCTTATAACAGAACTGTACACAAGTTAACAGTCTGTCTATTCGATAGCGCTGTTGTAAGCAGACTCAAGCCCTACCGTGCCTATAGCTTTATCATACCCTAGTTCAGGGGTCCGCTGCCATTTTGGTACTAGAGTGCCAAAGAAATACTTCTAATTCATTCAGGGTGTCAATAACTTAACCATTTAAGGCGCCATTTTTATTCATTGATTATAAACGAGAAAAGTTCACCCGTGTTTAACGGTGGTGGGTGGGGGGGGGGATTAATTTTAACATATAATGCGAACATCTGTTTTAATTAAAAGGTCAATCTATAAAATGTTACATAAACTTAGTCAGTTATCGGCCATACAATCAAAAACAAAGAGAGACAAAGATAATAAAAAATCACATGAAAGATAAATTTAAGGAAGCACTTGTTTGAAAACGATTTTTTTTTTCCGTCTGGCTTGAGCAGATGTAAAAGCAACGACATGTGAGCATTCAGCACAAACATTGGACGTGGTTTTAAGACGTGTGCTATGTCTCATCAATCCCTGTGCATTTAACGATTGTCATCCCACAGCTGAGTTTCACGGGGAACAGCTCTTGTAAAACATGAGAGGGTTGGTCAGAGGCCATCCCAACCGTCCTTGCCATTAGTTTTGGTAACCTGCAAAGATAATGAGACCCGGTTCCCGGTACACGTCGAACTGACGCTGCGTGGGTCTCCGGTAAACCTGGGGGGGGGGGGGGGGGGGGGGGGGGGGGGGGGGGGGGGGGGGGGGGGGAGGGAAAGGCTTGTCACAAAGGTGGTCAGGTTTTTTTTTACGGATTTCCTTTAGTTCTTGCGGACATTAACGAACATTTACGGACATTTACGGACACGGATAAGTCATGTTTAGGATATAATTTTACGGAATGGTTTTACGTTTACGGACGGTTGTCAGACCTGGTGACAACAAATAGACAATTACAAATTCGACGGCGCTCGCTCGAGTCGGTTTCATAACATGCAAGAGTGGGATGTCACCAGAACCAGTTTACCTCAAGTACATTTTCCCACAAGAGCAGATTGCCGCCAGAAGTCTAGGCTCATGAGGGGGCAGCCCAAAAAGGTCGCCAGGCCACTTTGATAGTGAATAAACTGTTCGCACGCCGCGTGTGTTTACAACTTATATTTTTATAAATATTTTTTTTTTTAAATACTCACTAAATGGTGTATGGAAATCAGTGGCGTAGCGAGGGGGTTTGGCGCCCGGGGACAAGATTCGCGCCCGGGGACAAGATTCGCGCCCGGGGACAAGATCCATTTTTAGCGCCCCTTTTTCTTTTTTTCAACTCTCAAACCCATTATTTTCATCAATAAAATAATATCAAAGCACATTTTGGCGCCCCTAACTAGCTGGCGCCCGGGGACATCTGTCCCCCCTGCCCCCACCACGCTACGCCT